TCTATTTAGTAAAGCTTTTATTTTTTTTTTTTTTTTGCAGTTGTTTATCCGTTTATGGTAAATAATGTGGAATACAAAATTGATGAAGCTAATGACTATTCTTTTTTCATTTCTAATAATATTCTCTGGATATGGTATCCAATGTGAACTTATTCGTCAATGTACTTGTGATGAAATACGGCATTGTCGTGAACGGATGTTAAGCCTCGTAAAGCCATGTGCTGATAAATGTCAGGTAGAATTAATAACTTTAGATAGGATAGTGTAGAATACATAGAAGTTATAGCTTTGAAAATTGTCACTATTTAAAATCATGATAGTTATTAATGCGACAAACATAGATTAGTTGTTAATTTAATTTTATTCATATCACCAAATCAATATGCTCAATCTTGCTACAGTACGCATGTTTTTAAACATACACTAATGCAATTCCTTATTTATGAATTAATATCATATTATAGCGATATGCAAATAAGGTGGAAGCAAACTATGAGATGTTGAAAAATTGTTTTCTGCAAAATGAGGAGAAATTATCGCAAACAATCAATTGTACACAGAATATTTTCCATAATGCGTATTATTTTAAATTTTTTTTTTTAAATTAAATTTTTACTACACTTTATAATTTAAAAAGCAAAAAAACTATATGAAAATTCTGAAATGTCCCATGACGATGATGACATAGAAGAAAATTAATGATGTAAAATAGTTTGTAGATGTGCAACAAAACCAGGATACTATGTTCAAAAGATATACTTCGAATCATTAGAAATTGCGGGACTTGCTGAAATTAATCGAGTGCTTGGAGGTATAATTTCAAAATTACATCATTTTTCTCCAATTTTAATCTTGTCATCATTTAAAATTCCGTCAAATTGTCGCATGTTCTAAATTTTTATTTCCAATAATAAATCCATTATTAAACTTGTCTCTATAGTAGATTTTAGATTATATTATAATCAATTACTTAAAAAAAAAAAACATATCAATAGATTAATTTAATGAATAATTTTAGATTATGCGCGAACCATACAACCATTAATAGCAATTGGACGACGTTTCTTGAGATGTGCAAGAGATTGCATTGATCGATCAAGTAAATATTGCTATGATCATCTCAAGTTTGTTTTACTCATAAATATTTAAATTATTGACAGATTTTTAATTTGTAAATGGAAAAATTAATTAAATAACAATTGGTGATAATTTTCAAAATAGAATACAACATCTAATTCATTGCTTTTTTTTCTCTTTCTCTTTCTCTCTCTCTCAAAAGAAACCTTCAGAAATATTTTTTATCAATTTTACTTGTTCGTATTTCTTAAATTTAAATTCAAGATGTGGCCTTAATTTACCATCTAATTCGGAAATAATACAAAAGAGTAAGCATTGTGCAATCATTAATGGTTTTGATAATATTGCCATACAACAGATATGCTTCTGTGCTGCATCTGCTGGTATCAGGTACATTTTACTTCTTATTGATAATCAATTTACATTTGTAATTTTCAATCATGTAATCAAACTATGATAATTATTAAAAATAAGGCTTCCTTTTTTTTTTATGTTATAATACTATTCCAAATAATTAACCAATAATTGAAAGTTTTAATTAAAATTTATTTTTAAATTAGTAGAATTTATTATTTTTGAATTATATGACCCGCATTACAAATAAAAAAAAAAAATCAAAATGGTCAATGGTCAAGAAAAGTTTGAGAATCATTAATTTAAATCAATAATCCTGATAGAGTTTTGCTTTTCAGAGATCTGAAAGATGTTTGTCCACGTTTACAAATTTTATAAACTAAAACAATGACAGATGACATTTAATGAAGGGAGAACTTGCTGTTACTTTGATTATAGATTCTTTTTATATTCATGCTCTAATTAATCTTAATTAATAAATGTTACACTTTTTTACTAGTTCAACAAAGAAAAAAAGAAAGAAAGAAATATTTCATTGGGGTCCAAATTGCTAAAGACTTATCTTTTCCTCCAAATGCCATCATACAAAAAACTGTCACCGCTTAACTGTCACACATTCAAAATTTTCTGAATATGTAGGAAAGAAACAAAAAAAAAAAACATCCCATTGCCTTGTAGAAGAAAAGATATGAAATATCTCAAAACCATATCATTCTTGGATCGAATGATGCCAAATGTGGGATTTTCTAAAAGAAAAGAAATGAATGGAATAATTCAGCGACGAAGCTCGCCTGAATTGGTATTTTCCAGAAGGTGAGATCAATTTGCGCTGCGGCGCTGTGGTGCCAATTTCTAAAAGTGAGCTGTCATGAATGCTAGCGTGCAATTCATTCATTCCAGGATATAATGGCAATGTTGATCGTGACTTACCTCTTCCTTTTCCATAGCTTCTATAAAAACGACTGCTTTTTTTTCCGGATTTCCGAATCCGGTTCTATTTCAGAAATATCCTTTATCTTCATTTCTAATTTTAAATTTCACTCATTTCCATATAGAGAAAGGTAAACTTGATGGATTCCTTCGTACATCCCATTTTTATCCTCATATGATTTACTTTCAACTTTCAACCCTTAGCTTCATCCCTTTCAATGACCAACTGACCTCTCAAAAATATTCGATCCATTTTCAAAGCATTACAATTGGGAACATGTAAAAGAATGGTTAATTCAAATGACACTGATGATAATTGATGACAAACAAGTTATTTGGAAGCAATACCCACAATTAATTCCCTCTCCCTTCTCCTCATTTCTCTTTAATCCTAAAATGTGAAATGTTTAAAGTACAAGATAAACTCTCTCTTGTGTTATTTTCACGCAGACATTAGCACACACACATACACACACACACACACACACATACATACACACACACACATGCACACACACACACAAATATACACACATACACATACATACATACATACATACACATAAGCACGAGGAATGTTGGGTGTGCTGCCATTTTATTATGGCTCATCGAAACGATCAATTTTTCGATAGGATTCCAACAAGGGTTATTGCTATTTATTATTGGTTAAGAAAATATAAGAAGAGTTAAGTGGAAAAGGAGAATGGTTTAGAAGTGAAATTAATTTATATTGAAAGGTTAGAATTTAGTAAAGTTTAACTTGTGGTATATCTTTTGAAATGATTCGAGGATAGTTATCAATAGCTTGCTAATTTGTAATATCCATTCAATAAGTATGAAATGATATTAAATTAAATTTAATTTAGAATTCAGGGAAAGAGGAGAATTTCAATCGATTATTTCATATCATTTCATAAAGGCAACAACTATTTTGCAAAATAGAAAAACAAGAAATGAGACAGGACAGTATCACCAGATGATTCACTACCATATCGATTATTTGTTATTTTAAATGTACACATTTATCTTTCCTTAGCATTCTGAAGATTGATTTTTTGCTATAAAATTTTTTTCTTTTATCATTTATTTGTAAAATTTACCTTATCATCTGATGATCGAGAAGGATGAATCAAGATTAATTCATTCTTCATCCGATGATTGGGAAGGGTGAATCAAGATCAATTCATTCTTCATCCGATGATCGGGAAGGGTGAATCAAGATCAACTCATTCTTCATCCGATGATCGGGAAGGGACAATCAAGATTAACTCATTCTTCATCCGATGATCGGGAAGGGACAATCACGATCAATTAATTCTTCATCTGATGATCGGGAAGGGTGAATCAAGATCAATTCATTTTTCATCTGTTGGTCGGGAAGGGTGAATCAAGATCAATTCATTCTTCATCTGATGATCGACGAGAAGGGAGAATCAAGATCAATTCCTTCTTCCTTTCATTCTATGCAATCCAATTCTTTATTGTAAATCTACGAGTTTTCGTTCTATTTGAGTGCAAGAAAATTGAATGATATAAGAAATTTTCGTCTGTTTAAAGGTGAGGAATCTGAAGCAATGGCAGATTGGATGTCCGAATTGCCAGTTGCTGCCCGGGATAAACCAATTATGACACTTGCTATTCCAGGTTTTTCAGTTGCTTTTGTAATCATTGTTTCGGTTCAACTTAATCACCTTATATAAATTGTTTAATTAATCAATAATTGGGGCAAATACATCTTGAAAAGGGGAAAGGTTTGATTCTCAATCAACTGTTACTAATGTATTTAC